GGACGGCTAGCGCAGATAGCCCTCGTGTAGCTTTGCGCGAAATTCCAAAACAAACAAACAAACATTGTTATTTTCATCTCGTAAAAAAAAAGATTATACATAGTTATTTTTTTTCTTTCGAAACTAAAATAAAGGATAATTTGATTTTTATAATGAAAAAGTTTTCAATCTATGAAAATGATAAAGAAACGGTTAACTATAAAAAGTACATTTCAAATAATTTAACATTTGGCAAAATGTTACTCTCAAATTATCTAAATAAGGACCTTGCTTTTCCCGCGTGTATTATAAAATATCTATTAGTTAATATTACTATATGCCAGTGACCCCTTTAACACTTTTCTAACCACAACTGATATTTATTTGCTATATGCCGACGAATTATCCACACACTTATACTGCAATAGTCCATATTTACTATATCACTAATCTATTGGTTCTTCATTGCTACAATTCGTACTTACAACATGCAAGATTTTACTAACCCCTAAATTTTTTACTGCAATAGTTCATATTTATTATGTCACTGATCCCTTCATACTTTAATGTCACAATTCGTATTTATTAAATGTCACTTCCCCCTTAAGTATTTGACTGCGATAGTTCATATTACTGTATCACTGATCCATTGGTACTTTATTGTCTCAATTATTATTTACTAGATTACAGACCCCTTAACTTTTTTATTGCGATAATTGTTATTTATTGTATACTGTATGTCTCTGATCCTTTGACAATTTTACTGTTATAACTTATACTTACTGTATTTTACTATCTTCTTTACAATTTACTGTCATAGTCCATATTTATTTAATATTACTGATTCTTTAACACTCTTTGTTGTTAATTAATATTTCAAAATTATTTCCGGTCCTGTGATAATTCATAATATTCTACATACGAAATTAGCTTCGAGACACTTTACATTGTCAATCCATAACACTATAACCGTTAATGGCCGACCTTATTACTAACTGTTGCTATTTGCAGTTTGAACAATAATTATTTTGCTGTTAGCTAAACAATTTGTGCAGTATAAATGAGCAAAAAAACAAAAAAAAAAAACAAGCTACACTAACAACTGCAGTGAAGACCTGATCTTTTGTGTTAATGATGAACGACCTAACGAGTCAAGTTATTGCACAATCATCTGAACTGAACAAACAATTATAACTACAGATACACAAGACTTCGGGAAATAACGAAGTGGATATACTTGCTCATATTGACAAATACACGCACCCATATATTCGCATATATATAGAGAGAGAATATACAACTCTTACCAGACTGTAACACACCATTGAAGGATGCATGAGAGTTCGGTCTTACGTCCTTTATCAGTGAGGCGTAGTGTCGGTTAAAGTGGTTATTAAACAACTTTTCAGTGTAGTGCGTAAAGGAGGGCCTGAAATACTAGTAGTAAGTTGTTCTTCACCATTCATTAGGCCTACGTCCGGTAATAGAATGTCTAGCTTGTTGCAACACCCTAAGCTTCTTCAGCCACATATTTAAAACTTGGACCATAAACACATTTTCAGACAGATTTAGACTAAACAATCGGTACAAGTTGACTTTTTTTTTACGTCCCGTCTCAGCTACACTACCGAGACAAGCACATTTCGGGTAGCTTAGAGAACAAACTGATTTCCGCACGAATTGCCTGGAGTATGCAACCATTCCGTACTGGCTGGACTGCCAACTAAAGCGTCGTCGACTGGGTTCAAAGGGTTGAGGCTGTCTAGACGGCGGGAATTTGGATCCGACGTTGAACGGCCTACATGGCGGCCATTCCACCTGGCCGAAACAAAGTGTTCAATGTCTGGTCAGCATCCTGGACAATGAAATCGTCTTGGAAAGAGAAATTGAGTGTATATAAGTACCTTGCTTTCTGAAAACACTGTTTAATAAGTGCGTCCTTAATATAATAATTATACCGAATTAGTCTCGATTATATCATCTGTTTTGCTTGAACTTTCTCAATATTAACTCCAGCTGGCCACTGGTACGAGTACAGTCGTAATCCACGCACGTATCTAGTATGGGGACACCAAGGTATCCTATGTTTTATTTTTTGGATATATGTATATATTATTTGGGAGTTTCGTATGTCATTTGAAATATATTTGATATAGTTTTTCACGAGCCATTGATCATCAATAACTTTACATTTATGAATAAGATGTGAAAATAGATGACTAAGTACTACTGTGTTAGGCCTAATAAGTTCTGGCGTATGAGCACGGTTTCAATTTGGCACTGCTTTATTTTTAATTATTGTTCACAAAATATTATCCTTCCTGTCTTGAAAAGGCAGGTTTTCCTCTAGTTTCTGTGCACCCCCCCCCCTAACGTTTTAACCATCTTATTTCTCAGTTCTAATCTATGGTCCTAGATATAAACTGGAAGGTTTAGCTGCTTGTAAGCTTCCATTAAAAAGGTCAAATTTTGCAACATAAAACAAAACTTTGCACTTTCTCAATAGGATGAACTATTTTCCTTCGAAATTGTTCATTAATGGCTTTACTAGTGTTCTACTTTTCCCCTGGTAGATCAGTCGTAAGTTTGCGGACTTATAACGCTAAAATTCGAGGGTTCAATTCCCTGCGGTAGACAGAATACAGATAGCCTATTTTGTAGCGTTGAAAAACAACAACAACAAAAAAGTTGAAACACCTACTGAGAATTATCAACTTTTACAAGTGGTTAGATATGCTGACATTTACTGCCATTATCATACATGAAGTATGCGAGTTCCCTCTTGGCACATTTGTTTTCATGTTACTTTTTAACAAATATTTTAAATAGTGTAAATGATGAGTAAAAGGGAGGCTACATTTTTTAGTATTAACGGTTTTAAAAAGTCCATCACCGGTACAGCATGATTAGAGTAATATTTTACGTTTAGTAAAGCAGTAGACGTAAGAATCGTTCACTTTATTACAATATCAAAACGAATAATTCATTTTATTTACACATAACACACACACATAAATCCAAGATATAAATATAATTTAACCTCCAACGCATTGTTGTTATAGACATGAGTGAAAATCGTATTAATGCCCAAACATTAAATGTAATAATAAGGTTATTTTTTCTCACATAATATCTTATTTGACAGAACTGCATAAAGATACGCAGAAAGCTTTTAAGACATTTATTTATTTGTTTTATGAAAATATGTAGGTGTACATTAGCTGTAATTTATTTAGTTAATATTAATGAATTGAAATAATTCTTATAGTGTACTGAGTTTATAATTTTCATTCATCTTGAATTGAATCTCCTTTTTTTATTTGAATCTTTATCTCAAGGATACCATGAAAAAAGCATATGTAAGTTTCACAGTTTTACTGTTCCTAACAATCACTCCTTTTTATTTGTTGCAAATGCAAGCGCAGAGTAATTTAGAGATAATTTATATTTAAAAATTCTATTTTAAAAGTTCTCTAAATAACATAAATCTATAAATAATTTACGTTTGCAATTGTAACAAAAAAAAGGAAAAATTACTGGGTATAAATAATAACTGTGTGAAATGTATATATATATATATATATATTATTTCTCGCATTATCCTAGAGATAAGGCTCTAAAACTCAGTTTAAAATATTTAATGTTTGTTTTCACAGTATTACAATGATAAATGAGAGTTAAAATTTTATTACTACACAAACAAAATTTTGTGATAGGATTATTTTATTCTCATGTGATATCTGAGAATACAAATAGTTTGTTTTTAAGAAATTTACTTTGTTTTATGTATGAGCATTTTTCTGTACTTGTAGTACATGTGACCATAAAGTAATTAAAACTTCTTGTTATGTACCTAAATGTAATGTAGTTTTTGGTGTTATGTGATTTTTTTTCCTAATCTTTTCAGAAACCCAAGGTAAATTTCTTGATTCTTCTACATGATACAAGCAAAGTAACCACCCAGTTGTACTTAGAAGTAAATGTACGAACAGGAGACTTTGTTGTTGCTACCTCATGATGTAACTGGTAATGTATAGACAAGTGTCTGACTTGTACTTCAATGGTTTTAAGCTGGTATTTGAAGTATCACACGTATGAAACATGTTAGTGTACGGGTAGAACTTAGGTCATAGTGCTTTTTAGCATTTTAAAATTATAATTATTATATTAAATAGCATAATTTTTATATTGTTGTGCTAAGACCCGATAATGGAACAAGTAGCAATAACTGTTATTGATATTACACTGATATAGCATTTAAAACTTTACAGGTGATGTATATTTTATCCAGACAAGCGAAAATTGAAACCAACAAAGATATTTATTTTACAATAAGCGTTACGTAGAGTTTTTGTGGGTGTCCTTTACGTAAAATCTAGCTATATTGTTGTGATGTAGATGCAAATAAAACTCGTATTATTTTAACAGTAGTATTACGCTGAGCTTATTTTTTTTTTTAATGTAAATAACTGTTAAGCAGAAAATACTATTACAGATGGACAAAATTATCTTCATAATATCTGAGCACGCAAAATTCCGAGTGGTGTAAAAATATTGCTTTAAAGAAGTAAAAAAAAAGCACGATTTTTACTACACATATTTAATCAGCTTTTATTATGTTCAGCTGAAAGTTTTTCACAGCAGTGTCTTCTCTGTAGATAAAACATAAATTGAATGCGTCATAGTGGTCAAAGACATTAACGTTTACACAAACAAGTATTTGAGATATCGTATAGTTACAAATATTTATGAAAAATTTTGTTTGCGTATAGTTATAACTGTTTACACAAATAGTGTTATTATTCTTCCATAGTTTACGTAAGCGTATTTGTGTTTGTAAAAGGTACAGCTATTTAGAAGAAGAAAAAAAAGGTAAGTATATGTGGTTGCTATAGTTCAACTAAAACATAAATACGATACGAAATATATCATTCGATTCACCACTTCTCACTGAGTTATACCGGTTTCGGAGAATTCCACCCCTCATCAGTAACCCAGGCCAAGGACAAATCGAAAAAACAAGATTAGGCTTCGTATAACATACAGTTCACCACTACAAGAAGCCTAGTTTGTTAGTTTTTTCAACCGAATGATAGGTTGGGTTTCATATTTATTTTTAGTATCTCAGCTTGTCTGTTGAATAACTTAGAAAAAATAAGTCAGTAGCATAAATGCTACATATTACTAAAATGCTATATAAATTTAGGTTAACTATGGTGAGTAAAAGACAACCAAAAACTCAATATATTCAGTTGCATCTGTTTACGTCGAAATAGTAGTATTTTTGCATAATTACGACTATTTACACACACAAAAATTTGTGTTGCATCACCAAAGTTTAACAATTACGAAACGGTGCTTGTGTGGTTTATTAGTACAAATGTAGTGATAACTGTGATATAATTTGTTACAAAGCTGACCACATACAACTGAAACACTAAACATTCCAACTATATTAGAAGAAAATCTGACATCTTATATAGCGCCGATTGAAACTTTCGTCAATTTAATAAAAAAGATTTTTTCCTAGATCAAGATTTATTGTCACTGTTAAAAAACAAAAAAAAGACGATTAGGTCTTACTTTTCATGATGACTTACTTCAAATAATAAGGTTTATATATGATAACTTCCACAGATTACTTAATTTCTCATCCAGACACGTGTTTTGGAAATCTTATGTGTCAGTTGGATTGGTTTATCACATATATTTACTAACACAATCTTGCTTATGTTGGTTTCAATGTACTATAAGACAATAATTATGACAAAATAACAATATTCTTGCTACCAACCTTCTTTTTTTTACTGTGCTAACAATGGTATCGTACTAGTTTTTGGTATATATATATATATTTCTTATATTAGTTATCAACAGAGGTTATTAGCATAATTATAAAGTCTTTTGAGACGATCCTTCAATAGAAAACCATATTTTTGTTTCGTAAAATAGTTGGACTGCATTTTATGTTTAGACATATGTCGAAAACTAAGGTTTATGTCTTTAACTTGTCAGTAGCTATTGTAACAATACATGTGATTGATGAAAAGATGGTGTGATAGTCTTGATATATTTTATTATCGTAATAAGTCACTTTCTATGGCAAGATATTCCCTGCGAGCTTAATAAGCTTTCCATTCGCATTGTTTGTTTATTGTAGCAAGTAATAAATATATATATTTTTTACGAAATATGTATAGTACATTTCTACTGTAGTAAGAAACTTCATATACATTTTAGAAAACATACGTCTTGATTTTGTTTATGTGTCGCAATTCTCAGAAATGTAAGAATTCAATTTATTTATTTAACCTAAGAGAATATGTACTGACGACTGAGAAACTTTACTTTTACATTCTGTCTGTTTGATGTGTATGCTTTTTGAGAAACTTTACTTTTACATTTTGTCTGTTTTACTTTCTCAAAAGGCTTACATAAATGTTTCTCAAAAGGCTTACACATCAAACAGGCAGAATGTAAAAGTAAAGTTTCTCTAAAGGCTTACACGTAAAACAGACAAAATGTAAAAGTAAAGTTTCTCAAAAAGCATACACATCAAACAGACAGAATGTAAAAGTAAAGTTTCTCAAAAGGCTTACACATCAAACAGGCAGAATGTAAAAGTAAAGGATCATTTACTGTGTAGGAAAGTTCTATAAAGTTTAAGAGCTTTGAGTCCACCTCTTATCTGTTTATTGTAAACATTCATATTTCTTAAACAGCAAACATATGCATTGTTGATGCAAAGTTAACTCAAATTGTAAAATATAAATTCTTAGAGTAAACAATAAAGTAGAAGATATAAGACTTCTGGATTTATAGAATATATACTGAACAGTAAGCAAACTCATGATGCAAGAATATTTATTTTACGAAATATGAAATTTTGCTGTTTCTGCTTGTCTTTACTGAAACATTGTCTGAAACATTTTGGCTTTTTACTTTATCCCAGCTCATTTGTTTGGTACATAAACTTTTGAAACTGTTTAGTAGAATATGAACTATCCACATCTGTATATTATGAACTATATTTATAAATAAAACGTATATTGTCCTTTTTCGACTCAGGGTTTAACTAATATTTTGAACAAATTGTTATCAATTACACAGGCTTGCGAATGTAAACTTCATAAAAGTTGTTTTGGTTTTAATAACGGATTTTCCATAATTCAGCTACGCAGATTTCGAAAATAATATTCATTTTCTCCATCACTTAAGATTTTTTTACAAATCGGGAAAAAAAAGAACAACTCTTACTTAGATCAAATTATTATTTCATTTACCACAATGAACATTTTTTATTATTATGTTTGTTAACAAAAATACAAACTAACTGAAGAAAAGGGGGGGAAACAATGATGTCAAATGAATATGCATCCTCATTCATCCTGATTGTTTTTGTGAAATTACATCTTTTAGTCTCAAAACTACGTGTTCTGGTCTTTCTTTTATGTATTGCGTTACGAAGTTTTGTGAAAAATCTGTACGTGATGGAGAAAAATGGATATCATTTTCGGATTCAGCATACAGGAATTACTGTAGAACATGTAAAAATTTCAAGGCGGTAAAACCATCGCAGGCCTGTGTTATTTAATACGAAAATTTTATTATTTTAGTACTCTTCTATTTTAATATTTACCACCTAGTTCTGCTTAGTTTCTCAACTACATTATTACATTTATCCAGTTTTGTTTTAATGTGACTCAAAATAACTATACTGGGCAGAATAAAAAAAATATAGCATTGCTTGATACATTTTTTTTTATGTGTTGCACTGTACTGAAAATTAATCGTCTATATAAAGGTCCTGTTCTGCTATTGAGACTACGTTCTCTGTCATCAATCGTTTTCTGATGGGTAGGACTACATCTACCGCTTCTACGGTAAAGTCAGTCTTAGATAACACACCTTGAATCTTGACAAACTTTTCACAACCCTTCCTCCTCTGTCAGTGGACGTAAGCTTCCAAGACCACATTTAAACAAACTGAGCACACAAAAGTATTTTTTTTTGGGGGGGGGGCATCTGGAGATTTAACGGGCACGTGGTCGAATAGTACTGCTATGATTCCAGTTTCTTCGGCCATCTTTCTAGCGAAAACAGATACTGATTCCTAGGTGTCGCTGGCAGCTCGTGAAAGTTGGACTTATTATATATTAATTATACCAGATGTTCCCAACTTCATTGCAATAGTTTATTTTTTAGTTGAAAGGTTCTCTTTCGTAACCATATCCTTTATTACTTTGCAGACTGTCCAAAACTTTCTGTTATACGAATTTTTTCCGCTGAAAGTTCCTTATCCGAAAATTGTGTGCTTTTTTTTTGCTCTGTATCGCTTAAAAACGTTTGCTATGCGAATATAGTTCATCGGAAAAGCTGTACCATATTATTTCAACCACAAGTCTACCACTAGGGCACAGTAATATAAAATAGTCGTAAGTTTGCTGTGAACCAAATACATGTCGCATCTTCGGCGACTTGCCATTATATTAGCAAGTGCAAATCATTCTTCTACTTGTATAGTGTAACCAACTCCAAACATCCTCTCCGTATTTAATAATAATTTATATGAAGCAAATGTTCTAACATACTGAACACTTATTATCAACCCTGATAATGATAAACTGTACAGGTATAGAAGCGTTGGCAAAAAAAAAAAAAAAGGAGTCGAAACAGTTTTTGTCCAATCATATGAAGTCATTTCTAGAAATGTTCATCATTTATCAAATAATTTACTATAATAATATACAGTTAACACGTAAAGATTTGTTTGGTAATATTATTTGGTGACACGGGGACCAGATTTAGAACTGATATTATTGAACAAGGTGGTTCATAAATAAACAAGTCTCAGTTACGTTGTTAATGTGCTCTGTATTGTAGTATAAAGTTTATATAAGTAGCTTTTAATTTTGC